TGTAACAATGGCGGCTAGGGTTTGGTCTGGTTCGTCTCTGAGCTTGAGAGAGAGACGATGGGGAGGGGGGGTTTGGTTTGGGGGCGTGGGGTAAGGGATTAGGGTTATATACGGGAGGGGTGTTTGATCTTGGCCGTTGGATCAATCACGATCAACGGCCTGGATCATTTTACTAATAGGGAACGACATCGTTTGGCCATGCTACGAGACTGGGTCGACCCGGGGTGAAATGGACCGGGTTATGGGGGAAGCCTGGGACCGTTAGATCAAAAGGAACGGATGGTTCAGATTTAATCACCTGAAACGGTGTCGTTTGAACCAATGCTGGGGCTGAACTGGACCGTTTGATCTGTTTGATCAACGGTTCAGATTTGAGACGCCTAAACGGTGTCTTTTGAGTCATCCGAGAGATCAGGCATATTGGACCGGGTAAACGGGGTGTTTTGGGCCTGATTTTGGGTCCAAAAAAATGGCCCAGTTCCGAATGTGTTTTTTATTTCACTTGTTTTTCTTTTCTATTATTTTCCTTTTTAATTCTTAATTACCAAAAATTCTAAAATAAGTTGTTAAACCAAAATTAAATTAAAAATATTAATTAAACCTAAATAATAATTGACACACAAGATTAAATATTAATTAATAAAAAAATAAAATATGGTTCAATTAATTCCTAAGTGCACAATTAAATCCTAAACGTGCATGCAACATATATTTTTGTATTTTTAATTAATTAAAACAAGATAAACATTCACAGACAAAAATACAAACAATTAATCCAAAGATGCCACGCAAATTCTTAAAATTGTACCTAAAGGACATTTGTTTTATTTATTTTTTTTGATTTCTTTCGGAATAGTTTCCGTGAAGCAAAAATCACGTGCTCACACCTTCTTTAAATAATCAATTGCCTTTTGGAGTTCTATAGGAGTTCCAATAAGGTTTATGTCATCAACATATACGGCAAGTACACCAAATTCCGATGTTGTTTTCTTTATAAAAACACATTAACAAATGACATCATTTATATAACCTTCCTTTAATAAATACTCACTAAGACGATTATACCACATTCGTCCTGATTGCTTTAAACCATACAAAGATCTTTGCAATTTGATTGAAAATATTTCCCGAGACTTTGAATTATTTGCGTTAGGCATTTTAAATCCCTCGGGAATTTTCATGTATATCTCATTATCAAATGAGCCATAAAGGTAGGCGGTAACCACATCCACCAAATGCATGTCAAGCTTTTCATGGACAACAAAACTAATGAGATAACGGAGTGTTATAACATCTATAACAGGTGAATATGTCTCTTCATAATCGACACCAGGCCTTTGTGAAAATCCTTGTGCAACAAGGCGTGCCTTATATCTTTGTACCTCATTTTTCTCATTCCTCTTGCATACAAAGACCCATTTATAGCCAACATGCTTAACATCATTAGGTGTTTAGACTACAGGCCCAAAAACTTCATGTTTTGCAAGTGAATTCAACTTTGATTGGATTGCTTCTTGCCATTTTGGCCAATCACGTCTTTGTCGACATTCTCCAACAGATTGAGGTTCAAGATCCTCACTATCTTGCATAATGCTAGATGCAGCATTATATGCAAAGACATAATCCACCACTATATCCACTCGATTCAAATTTATCTCAATATCCATTGGATTTATTGATAGTTCCTTATTTTCTTGAGTCCCAGGCTCAGTGGTTTCTTCATGAATCTCAAAATTTATTAACTCATGGATTTCTTCGTGAAACTCTTTCGTAGTGTTATCTTGATCCTTTGTTTTCCTTTTTCTAGGATTTTGATACTTAGAACCTAATGGTCTGCCACATTTTAGGCATGCTTTTGACTCATTAGCTATGACACTAGAAGATTGTCCAACATGGACATCAATACGGATTGGAACATTCTCTGCTGGGATATGTGATTTTGTTATCCTTTTCAGATCCGTAAATGCATCTGGCATTTAGTTTACTATTTTTTGCAAATGAATAATATGTTGTACCTCTTTTTCACAAATAGAGGCACGTGAATCAAGATGAGACAATGATGGATTTTTTCACCAAATTTCCCGTTTGGTTTCACCCTGTTCTCCCCCTAATTTTGGGAAAAGTGTCTCATCGAATCGACAGTCTGCAAATCGTGCAGTGAACAGATCCCCCGTTAATGTTTCAAGATAGCGAATAATGGAGGGCGATTCAAACCCAACATATTTCCTAACCTTCTTTGGGGGCCCATTTTGGTGTGATATGGTGGTGCTACAGGCACATATACTGCGCATTTAAAAATTCTTAAATGAGATATATTAGGTTCATGATCCAAAACTAATTGCAACGGGGAATATTTATGATAATTTGTCAGTTTGAGACGAACTAGCATTGATGCATGCAAAATGGCGTGACCCCAAACAGAAATGGGTAACCTCGTTTTCATGAGTAACAGTCTTGCTATCAATTGCAGACGTTTAATTAAAGACTCTGCAAGGCCATTTTGAGTGTGAACATGAGCTACAGGATGTTCCACTTTTATCCCAATTGATAAGCAATAATCATTAAATGCTTGGAATGAAAACTCAGCAGCATTATCAAGTCTAATAGACTTAATTGGATTATCGGGGAATTGCGCCCATAAACGAATTATTTGTGCCATTAATTTTGCAAACGCGAGTTTGCGTGATGACAATAGGCACACATGAGACCATCTAGAAGATGCATCTATTAAGACCATGAAATATCTAAACAACCCACTAGGTGGGTGAATAGGTCCACAAATATCCCCTTGTATACGTTCCAAAAACACAAGGGACTCAATCCCAACCTTTGTTGGTGATGGTCTAATAATTAACTTGCCTTGATAACAGGAAGTGCAACAAAATTCATTATTTAAAAGAATCTTTAAATTCTTTAATGGATGCCCATTTGAGTTTTCTATAATTCGTCTCATCATAATTGATCCAAGGTGTCCCAATCGATCATGCCAATAAACAAAAGTATTGGAGTCAGTAACCTTTTGATTTACAATAGAATGTGCTTCAATTGCACTAATTCTTGTCCAATACAGGCCACAAGATAAAGATGGGAACTTCTCAATAACCCTCTTTTGGCCAGAGACATTCTTGGTAATGATGAGATATTCAAGATTATTCTCATCTATTGTCTCAATATGATATCCATTTCGTCGGATATCTTTAAAACTCAACAAGTTCCTCTTGGACTTGGAGGAGAACATTGCATTCTCTATGATAACTTGATAAGTATTGTTCCTTTAGGCAGAGTTATAGTAGCTCTTCCAGAGCCTTCAATCAGATTACTACTACCAGAAATTGTAGTAACATCTACCTTACACATACTTAAATAAGAGAAATATTTCTTCGCTTTGAATATTGTATGTGACGTACATGAGTCAATTAAACAAATATTTTTACAATTGAATTGTGATCCAATTTTGCTTTGAGAGATATCCATATTTGCTTGTATTTAAAATCAAATTATAGAATGTCAAGAATTTAAAAGAGAAAATTAAAGTAAAATACTTACCTTAAATTCAGAATTTAATCATGAAGAAAGTTCATGGAACAATTGACAATCATTATGCTCAATCCAAAAGCTTCTACTCAATTGGTTAGAGTCTCGTGCTGATAACGTGTTATAAAACAATAAAAGAAGAAGAAGAGTATTGCAGAGAAAAGTAGGGAGAGAGAATTCTTATTGATTTTAGGATGAATTACAAAGGAATAGAACCCCTCTATTTATAGAGAAAGAGTGACTTAGCCACCAAATAAAATCCCTAGAATCTCTTTAGAATATAGACATTCACCATAAATAAAATTTTATTTATACAATTAAGTCAATTTTTGTTAGATTTTTTGGTTATTTCGATTCCTTGTTGATTTTTAAAAATGTGTTATATATATATNTTAGTTATGCGAAATACAAAAAAACAACCAAATAATAATAACGTATTAAATCTGCTTATTCCACCAACCAAACAGGTTCTTCTAACTGGTATAACTCATTTCCAGAAGCTCAAAGTGACAACACCAACACAGTGAAATCCCACTAGTGGGGTCTGGGGAGGGTAATGAGTATGCAGACCTTACCCCTGCCCGAAGGATACCCGAAGGGATAGAGAAGAAGTTCAAAGTGACAACCGTAAGATATCCTCCAATTTAAAATTTCTCAAAATCGTGCCAGAGGTACAGTACGGAGATATCCCATGATCCTTTTATCTTACAATTGAAAAACTATAAAATTTCTATCCTTGCCAATGACTGCTGTAAAATACAACTGCTACGCTTCAATTCCAAACTAATAATTGGGATTAGCTCTATGAACCCTATCTTATCAAGATGGCCATAAAATAGCAAGCAAGTTTTTGGATAAGAAAACATAGTGAACAATTACATTTCAAATCCTGAACATTGCTATATTAGAAACTAGATTTCACAGCATTACGTCCTGACAATAAATGTAAAACCACTGCCACAGTAAACTCTACCGACACATGGTTTTCTAGATTGTTCATTGCATAAACTTACAATCCGTGGGCCAGTTTGATCATCTGTATCTCCTAATCCAAGCTGACCATGTTCACCCCATCCCCATGTCATTACAGATCCGTCATCTGTAAAGTTAATAATGAAGATGAGCCAATACACTATTGATATTTTCTCACAATAAACTTTTGCATCAGATCCTCACCTGTTACCAAGGCAGAGTGCTCAGCTCCGGCGCCAATTTGGACAACCTTTCTACTATCAAAGTCAATGACTCTTTGCATGACAGCTTCATCTTCTTTGCGAAAGAAACAAAGTTGTATTCAGATTAAAGGGAGCAAATATTGAAAAGACGGAGCCACACAAATACTTTACGGGATATGATTTGAAATTTCAAATAGATTAAACCATTGACTAGTTAAAGTTTGATTGTTGGTGTTAAACTTACATTAGGTTCAGGTAGGGATAAATGTGAGATTTAGAGAACAAACACTTCGTTTTAGAGAACCCCAAATTTTCCTTAAAAGATAAATTATTTATCAACATAGAAAATGAATGGCCGCATATGAAAGGAATGGTTGTAGAGGTTCGTACCCCAAGTTTGTGATTAAGGCCTAGATGATTGATTTGATTAAAACCATTAAATTTTGGTATATGAAAACAGATAGTACTGGAGAAGGCATTGAGGTCCTTATACCAAGTGTTTTCAACATTACTTCACCTTACAACTTAATCAAGAAATGTAGATCTATATCTTTCCTAAAAGGAAATGTTCGCGCTAAGAGTAAAAATCATCCAAGGTGACAATCCAATCTCAAGAAGCATTGGATTTCACAAAATTCTGCAGAAGTTTATACAGATAGATAATCAAAGATCATTACCTGATATATGCTTCATCAAGTTGTCATTCTGAATACCCGTAGGAACATTATAATTGTATCTGCCAAGCATGTATACTTCCCCATCACCTATTAATGTGCGTGGTGAAAGTCTTCAGAATTTCCATATATCTGAGCTATTTCCTTAACGTATTTGCAGATTGATAATAAAGATCAACAGCTTAAAATACCTGTCAATACAAGAGCATGATTCCATCCTAAAGCGACTTGGATTAATGGTAAGTCTGCAGTAACACGGCAGGGTCTATACACATCTGAGGCGCCACAGAATGCTCTTCCCCATATATATAAATGCCCATTCACTTAAAAAAAACAAATTTTAGCAATATATAACAGGTAAAAGAATTTACCAACTTGATAAGATTGTCAGATGAAGCTACAACCACCAAGTAGTGGATGCTGCGACTAGATAAAGGTTGGGGCCCGCAATTATCAGTATTGGATTATAGAATGGAGTACTCAGAAACTTACGAGATATTGCTGCACTATGATCTCCATTTGCAGCGATAATCCTGATTTTGACATTTTCCAAACCCAAAGTAACATGAGGAATACTAAGTGACTTCTGTTTGTCATCAGATATACCGAGTTGACCACGTTTTCCAGAGCCAAATCCATAGATAAGATCCTCGGTATCTCCTAATAGAAGTTAATTGAAGTGAAAAATCAGCTTAACGCAAATCAATATGCATGCTTATGTACATACAAGTGTGTTAAGAGGCCTGAATGATGTGACTGGTCATAACTATCCAATTTCATTTCAAGCTCATGGCAATAACCCATTGAAAGTAAAGCTGTATAGTGCCAGCGAAAGTTTAAGAGAAGCATTTACATCACTAATTACCAAACTAGACTATGACACATTATACGAATGAACAGATATACAGCACGCACCGTTCTCAGAAAGCAGCAATTTTGTTAATATAACCAGATGAACAAAGAAATGCAAGTATTAGGCCTACTTTACCTTTTAGTAAGACAAGTGAATGGCGCATACCACAAGCAATTTGCACGACATGCCTAGTCTTAAAGTGCAACACTTGTACAGGAGAACATCTTGAGACATAATCCCCATGCCCAAGCTGACCAAATGAACCATCTCCACAAGTGAATACGTAACCAGTGTCTGATAATAGTAAAAAATTTACACTCAAAGACAAGTTAAAAGAGGTATTCAGCTAAACAAGAACCATCTCCACAAGTCAATACCATAATTATTATTGCAGCAACAGAACATAAAACATTCAAGAATATATTAAGCCAAAAAGTTGTACAGCTAATCTAGATGACAACAAAAGTTCATATTCATCTGTTCGGCAAAAGCTTTCGATTACCATGAAGAAAAGAACTTTAGGAGTAACCTAGTGCATAAATAGTTCCTCGCAGAATGGCTCTAACTAGGATATAAGGAATTCTGCTTTAGTCATCTGCACATTTAATATACCCTAAGCATAAATGAGTTAACTTTAACTAGAGATGTCGTGAAACATAATTGAAATCTCAACGCATGAAATTTCAATTTCAACAGAACTAATAATATCTAAATAAGGGTTACTGATGAGTAACTTGAAGTAAAGTATTCCAGAAGCAAAAACCTTACAGTATGAAGAATAATAATCCAATCTCAGATAAGATTTACAGATGAAGCAGAAAGAAAGAAACCTGACACGAATCCTGAGTGATTCCATCCAGCAGAAGCATGTGTAATAAAGACGCCTTCCAAAGATTCCACATACTTTGGGTGTAAGCAGTTAACCATCTCTACATGACCTAACCGACCAGATGTACCCCTCCCCCATGTTAGCACTCTTCCACCTGCAAAACTGTATCGGTAAAAAATATACCAGACACGTGGCAGACACAGGATTCAACATGTGGCAAGCAAATTAAGGTTATGATAGTCAACTTCAAGTCAGTCGGAGTCGTCCAGACCGAAGACTGAACACCAATGAGCTGATCAAGGGATCACTCTTCCCGTGAAAGATCAAATATGGAACGATTCCTCCGGATGGTCTGAAGCAGCATCCGGAGAGTTATCACCCATTGAACAGCAATTTCGAGATATCTACCTTCCCCCATTAAACACCATCAGCAGTAACGATTCAATCATCATAATTATCAGCAATGGCAATGTATAGGAGTGATTCTAGGGATCGGTTGACTAGCTCATACATACCCTTCTTCCCCACAATAAGAATCTTTTCTCTCATTCTTCATTAATTTGATTAGTTTAGTTACATCCTTATTTCCATTACACTGTTTTTCATCAGCAATGGTTTTAGTTATCTAGGTTTAATCAAGTTGGTTGTGCCCTAATTCCATAGTTTTAATTACTTAATCTAATAACCAGATTTTAGGTTAAACAACCCCCCCCCAAACAAACTGTGTCTTTTTTCCTTTGAAAAGTAAAAATCTTTCCATTGAATCTCAAACCAAGATGGTATCTTTACATAACAAGCTTTTGTGAAAGTTCAAAATTTTCTATTGGTTCTCACATCAAGATGGTGTCATCTGAACCCATCAACTTTTTTTAAAAAAAGTATTAAAATAAATTTTTTTTCATTGAAGCTCCCATCAAGTAATGGTGCCATCATTACTCCAGAACCTCATCAAATTTTTTTTTTCTTTTTTGGATATAAAATGTTTACATAAAGAGCTCACTCCAAATAGGTGTCATCTGTACAGTAAAACCCTATCAAGTTTTTCTTTTTTTAAAGTAAAAATCATTTCATTGAATTTCAAACCAAAAAGGTGCAATCTTTAATGCAAAACCCAAGCCCCATCAAGTTAAAAACAAATTACAGGGAGATAAATACACAGAACAAAAGAAAAATGCAAACTGAAGAGTAGATAAAAGTGCAGACCAGGAGTGAGGGCAATGACATGGGCACCACCACAGGAGAGATAAGAGATGGAAGTAAAAGAAGAGAGAGAATGAATGAGTTGAGGTTGGTGTTCATCTTGGAGTTTTCCTGTTCCTAATTGTCCCTCAGTTCCTGCTCCCCAGCTCCATATTTCTTCTTTTACTAACCCTTCTTTTTCTTCTTCTTGTTCTATAACTCTTTCTGTTTCTTCCATCATTTTGGACATCTGATCAATCTGAGTTCCTATAAATTGACGGCTTTGTTCCTCTCTTCTCTTTTTATTGGAATAACTTTGATTACCTTTACAGGTTCTATATCCACACTTGAGTACCACGGTCAAAATATTTTAATTTTTAGTGTATATTCAAATACGATATTTGGGAGTACTAATAGTCCTGAAAATCTTTTAATCATAATTTTTATCGTTGAAAATATTCTCAAATATTACTACTAATCAAACAAAAAGTAGTCAGACTCTTAAAATGCCCTTATGTTATCCGAAATGGCTCAATTTTATCTTTCCTGTTTGGTCTATTTATATCATTGCGTTGGCAAATTGTTTCTTATTCACTCTTACCATTAAGGAAAACTAGTGTGAAATGAGTGAATTCTCGAAGAAAAAGTTCAAATTTACCCCTCAATTTTTAATTACGATTCGAGATTATCTACGGGTAGAACTCCATTAGGGGGTCAAGGGCGAAAACGAGATTTGTTTTAAGGATATGATAATAAGCACGAAGGCCCTTAACGAAATGTCGTTCGCCTTTTTTACCCTTTAAAAACATATTTTACATTGGACAAAATTGTAAAATAAAAAAAATTTCCTTATATTTAGGAGTTCTAAATAAAAAAAATCTAATATAATTAAATGTTTGATATCTTCTCCTAATAAAGATACAATATATTAAGACGTAAAAGAATACAAAAAAGTAGGAGGAAATTTTTTTGTTTGTTTCCAACAAGAAAACTTCACGTTTTTGTGTGATATTTTTTTTTCTTTGTCCTTGTTTAATCATTAAGACCAATTTTACCTTTATTTTTCTTTCATATGATTTATTTGTTTTTTGAAAAATTAAATCATAAGTATTTTCTTAGAAGCTTGGTTGTTAAATTCGTTAAAATTTACTACGGCATTAGGTTTTGAAATAATAATTATTGTTGAAAAATATAGTAATCATTAATTTGTGATAAAAAATTAATTATCATAATTTAATTTACATAAATACCTAAATTACCTCATTGCATATGTTAAAATAAATAAATGGAAAAGGACTTTTATTTTTTGGTAAAAAAGAAACCAATATTATTACTAAGAAAGTTTATTACATAATTTAACTTTATAAAACATGAATTAGTTACTACTAAATTCATCTTATAGCTAATAGGATTTTTTATAATATATAACTGATTATGTCACTAAGTAGGATTAGCAATGAATTTTATTATTTAACTACATAATTTATGTATCGCTAATTTTTCTTCTCTTTGTAGATAACTTGTCTTAGAATACATGGTACCTAGACGACTACTTTGATACGAAATTAATGTAAAAGAACGAGATACATAATAACATCAAACTTTCAAGATTATCTTGGTTGTTGTCATGCTTAGATAGGCTATCCGTTACTTTTTTCGACTAAGTAGGCTCAATATTTATCATATTCAAGAGCTTATATTTTTAAAAATCTTATTTTTAGGGGCATATGTTTTTTTTTATAATTTTGTACGCATCAATAAAAGGTACACGCATCGCGCGTATCCTAGCACGAAGCCTCTTAGCGAAATGTCATTCGCCTTTTTTACCCTTTAAAAATAGATGTTATATTGATTATAATTATAATTTAATTATTCTACTAATATTTA